TTAGTTCTGTTTGAGCCTTCTATGGTAATTGCTAATTCAAAAGAAAAGTATCTTTAGGAGAACATAGTAATAGCATTCAAAGACACTATTGTATAAGCTAATACAAGACAAACAAAAACATGCTAAATGTTTTCTGATTGTGCAATTTTAAATGTGACCAGTTTTGTTTGCTAGCCTTCATAGTTGTTATTATAATGTTGTGGTTACTTCAAGTTTATAGCTATAGACCTACTTGGTGATTATGTTTCTTAATTGTAATATAGGATTAAAATAATTGCTGAAATCTCAAAGGATAGAGCATGGAAATGCATGAAAATGCATTTTAAAATAGAATAGGAAACTGCATGACTCATATTGCACATCCTGTTCAGGAATTTCACACCAGACACAGGAGAACAGGAGATTATGTATCAGCTTAATAACTGAGATAAACTGTATTAATTCATTATTTTAGTTCCATCTTCCTCTACTTCACTTTCTGATATGTATAAACTCAATCATCCCCTCTTCACAATGTGCACATAGTTTGTAATGCATACCACATATCATAAAATAGTAAAGTCTTCTCTATTTAAATGATCACTTTACTTTTTATTTGTTGTTATCAACTCACATTTTTGTTTTCCCTAAGGATATAGCTTAGATATAGTTCGATATATTTACATTAATTCTGCATCACAAATATTCTAGGCAATCCCACTCTGTAGCTACTAGGAGGATTGCCTGTCAGTGGCCTATCTACTGATTTATTACTCTATTCCTGGATGCCTGGATTGGGGTCTTACCACAAATAAGAAAAGTAACGCCTCATGACATATACATGGCCTTTAAATACCATAGGGAACATTATGTTATCCTCATACTACATTTTTCCAATAACTGCAAATTTCAGATTTTGTGCCAGCAGAAACTGATAGATGTTGTCTGACTTTTATGCCACCTTACCAGAAAGCAAAGCATGAATTACTTAAAATTTATTTTCATCATTGTGCAGAAATACATGAAGCACAAATTCCTAAGTATTGCTGGCAACAGCCTATGGTTACTTGAACAGTAAGTCTTGTTCTGCTTCTTTAAGTGTTGCTACATTATCATAAAGACATTATTTTATTAAAGTGTTTCATAGTTCTACAAACTGCAGTTTTGCTTGTATATTTGTTAAACCTGATGTCGACTACTGTAATAAAAAAAAACTTGCAAAGTTCTTGAGAAGTTCAAGGGAGAGAGTCAGGATCAGATTAACATAGGGGCCAATGGAGCTAAAGCTCGAGGCCAAATCCTATAGAAAAGGCTTAGTGAAAAAAATAAATATATATATATATATATATATACATATATATATATTTCTATCTATCTATCTATCTATCTATCTATCTATCTATCAATATGTCTATCTATCTATCTATCTATTGATATGTCTATCTATCTATCTATTTTTATTTTTTTTAACTACTACTCATCGCATACTTCTCTGTACTAGACTGTATACCAGGAGCCTCTATTACTAAATTCTATTGAGTCTGAAAAGTAAAAAGGGGGAAAAGGGGGATTCAAACCTGTACACAAGAATGTGCCCTAAACACAATAGGACCAATTTAGGCAAAATCGCATATGCATGGAATGGGTATGGTACAGTTTCAATAATGTCTAATAATCTAATATTAATGCAATAGAAAAGCAGGAAACATCCTTTTTAATAATAAGTTCTTGTAGTAATCAGCTTTCTCATATAACGTAGACTCATAAAAAGAAAAGGGAGGGGGAGATAAAAAGCAGTGATAAAAACAGACTGCTTTTTTAAAACATAAAAAACATAAAAATCAACATAAACAATAGCAGCAAAAATGTCACTACTGAGACAAAAGGTGAAAAAAAGTAATAAAAAGGCAATATACAGTATCCACACAATAGATGCAGTCTATTGTGGCTCTGAAACTAGTTTGTCTTGTTATGAACTATGAGGTAGGAAAGCCCAGATTAGGGTTGCTGTCTATTCCAGCTTTTTATACGTTCCCAGTGAGGTAGTTGAGAGGTCTTATCCAAGTGGATGCTGCTTCCAGTGATGGTTTTACAAAGTTTCTGCAAAACACATTTTGCCCAAGTATTATCAGCCTTTATCAATGACTCAGAGACATGCTTATTATGAGTTTATGAAACATAGAATATTGATGCTTAAAAGCCAACCAATCAGAGTGCTCTACTGAGATTACGAAGCATGAATAGGCCATTATAATTTGTTCTCCTGACTTAAAATCTTGTCAACCCCCATCATTTAATTTATACCTTCAATCAATGACCACACATGGGGCATGGGGGTATTATTGACAGTCCACCACCAGTATTTTGCTAGTGACTGCTCAGTCACTAGATTTCTATCATAGTTCACACCGTGACATCCAGATGGTCAAACGTGTTCACCCCAGTAGTGCCCAACAGGGGATTTGAGCTCTGGTCCATCTCCGCCCTAGTCTTGCTATCTTGCAAGATCTTGCATCTTCCTGTTTCTGCGTATCCAAATTGTGTGTTCTCCAGTTTGTTCCTAGCTCCTGATCTTGGCTCTTCTCTTCATTTTCTCTGAGCTTCCCCTGAATACAGCTTTCCACGACTACTCTTCTGCTTGTCCTTGCCTGTACTGCGACTTGGAGTTATATCCCTGCACAGCCCCCATGCACAGACACACAGGCCAGGTGGATTCTTACCTGATCACCTCGGTCTGTGTTTATTTGCAAGCGTGAGCGTATATCTCTGTATACTGGACCCCACATCAGGTAAAATCCCTGACAATTTCATTACAGTGTGCAGCCACTGTATCTCCACATAAGTACATTTAAAAAATATATATATATTTTAATATAGGTGTTGTCATTACAATGCCTTTTGATAAACACGCTTGTGAAAGACAGTGTACATTGTCATATAATGTTTACAATAATATAGTTGCGCCAACACCTACATAACCGCCTTGGGGTTTTTGCTTACAACTACCCTTGTGACATTTTCGAATGAAAATGTTGACCAAGGAATCGTGTGGTAGATCTTAGGCTGGGATTGCACTAGAGTTTCAAGTCAGGAAAACAAATTATAATGGCCTCCTCATGCTTTGTAATCTCAATCAGAGCACTCTGATTGGTTGGCTTTTAAGCATCAATATTCTATGTTTGAAAAACCCATAATAAGCATGTCTCTGAGTAATTGATAAAGGCTGATAATACCTGGGCAAAACATGTTTTGCAGAAACATTGTAAAACCATCACCTGTAAACACGGTGTATGCGACTCCAGGAGAAAACCCGTACATCCTGTGTGGCTAGTGTGGCAACTGTAATTTTGCTGAAATATACATATTTTGGAACAAAAAGGTATAATATTTATACAAAACATAAGAATATATGTTACATAAGGAAAAAACAAAACATCACAGGTGAAGGTAGCTGTCCGAGAGGGAACACCCTTCCGGGCTTAATTTTGAGATGTAGATATTAAAAAGTATGAGGACCTATGGGTAGTTTTGTTAATTGGATTCTTAGGTTCGGTGAGGGTTATCTTGGAGGAACGTTCGCCAAGGCTCCCATATCATTGTATAGTGTGTGTAGTCTTTGTATAGAGAGTGACTAACTTCTTCCATATGCCTAATGTTTTCAACTTTCTGAATCCATTCCCGTATTGGTGGTGAATTTGCCTTTTTCCAATATACTAGAATGAGTTGGTTTGCTGTGGTCAGGAGGTGTTTAACTAGTGAGGTTTTCAATTTGGTAATAGAAGTCGGGAGTAAGAGAAGAATAAATGTCTCTCGCTGGAATGGGATGTCTGCGCCTTTGATTGTGCGTATGTAGTGAGCAATTTTCTTCCAGAAGGCACCTATGACTGGGCATTGCCACGAGATGTGAGCAGACGATAGCCTGGGTGCACCTCCAACAGAGGTTCTGAGATGTTGGGTACAGTCTGTGTAGCTTTGCTGGTGTGTAATGTCATCTAGCTATCCTTGTATAATTACTTTCCTGTGTTGCTAGGTTGGAGGGGGATTTATGTATGAACATAAAAAATCTTTTTTCCAGTTGTTGGGGGTTAGAGAAATCTGTAGTTCCTCTGATCATGAGGTCGTAAAGGTTGGGAGTTGAGTGGTGTTTTGTAAGAGGGTATAGAGAGTTGAGATTTATTTTCTCTTTAAAGCATGGCAAAGGTTCTCAAAGTGAGAGAATGGAAAGTGTCCCCCCTAGTGGAGGTGCTGGGATCTGAGGAAGTGCGAAAGTTGAGTGTATTGGCCATTTTTAAGTGCTGAGTGTGTATCGGTCGGTAACAAAGCATTTAGTGGAGCAATGCCATTATCATTGAGTATTTTGTTTAACGTGAGATATTTTGAGGTATGATAATCTTTGTATGCCTCACCTGATTCACCGGTTGGAATAGTGGATTTTGAGTGAGTGGGTAAAGCGGGGATGTATAGGGTGATACTTCTTTGTTGTACCTAAAATGTGAACAAAGTGTGGGCATTATGGTAGGGTGGCACAAGGGTTTCAAATAGGCTTGTCCTGTTTTATGCCATGGTATTGTATAAATAAGCACCCTAAAGAAGCTGTCCTGTATAGTTACCCATTGTTTCTGTGTTTGAGTATCTGCCCAGTCATACATTCTAGGCAGCAATGTGGCATTGTGGTATAACTCAATATTAGGCAGTCCTAGTCCACCTTCTGTTTTCGGCCTGACTAGGAGTGAGTAGGCTAATCCTCGGAGCTTCATCTTTAGAATGTTGGTTCTACAGAACCAGCCAAAGTGCAGGTGGTGCCATAAGGTCCTTGGAGATGGTGTGTAAAAGTGGTGGGAAGTTTAGATTGTAAAGCTGTGGTATGGCCAGGTATTTTATAGAAGATACAATCCACGTGAAGGGATTTTGCTTTGGTAAAATCTCACACTTACCTAGGTTAGCTTGGAAGTTTGAGACCGTGTTATGCAGTGACATTTCCTTGAATATATGGAGCAGTGATTTGTCTGGGTGTGAGACCGTGAAGAGCAAGTCATCAGCAAAGGCAGTGACTTTATACTTTATAAAGTCACTGCCTTTGCTGATGACTTGCTCTTCACCCCCTCTATTTCAAAGCCTTTTATTTGGTGATTGTTTCTGATGCCTTGTGAAAAAGGCACAAGCACTAGAGCAAAAAGGAGGGGGAGGACTGAGTCTGAGAGTTGACCATTAATACAAATTCTTGCCTTTGGGGTGGAGTAGTGCTTTCAACCATTTGAGCCAGTTTGGACTGAAACCTCTGTATTCTAGAAGTGCCTTCATTAGAGACCAGTCCACCCCGTCGAACGCCTTCTCGGCATCAATAGTCAGGAGAAGACTTTGAGTTTGTAAGAATCTAGACCAGTGAATTAAATTTAGCAGTTTGGTGGTGTTGTTTTTGGCTTCTCTATCTGGGATTAATCCCAATTGATCAGCGTGGACCAGTCCTGTGAGCAGAGGGCATAGGCGGTTTGCTAGTATTTTTGTAAATAGCTTCAGATCAATGTTAATGAGCGATATAGGTCTATAGCTACTACAGTTGAGTGGGTCCTTTCCTGGCTTGGGTATGACAGCGATGTTTGCTTCGAGGGAGTCAGCCGGGAGTTTTGGCGTGTTGAGTAGGGAGTTAAACCACTTCATAAAAGGGTCTGCTAGGAGTGAAGAGAACAATTTGTAATATTTGGCCATAAAGTCATCAGGGCCCGTGCTTTTCCTCAATGGAAGTGAGTGGGTTACCATTTGAAATTCTTCTTTGGATATTGCTAGTTCGAGTGAATGAACGAGATTTTGTGGGATAGTGCTTCAAGCCCTAAGGAGTAGAAAATCTTAAAGAACGGATTCCGAGGGGGGTGATTGCCTAAGGTTATAGAGTTTTGTGCAAAAAGCATGGAAGGCCTTAGTTATATTAAATAACTAAAAAAGAAAAAAATGAGAGCCTAGATATAAATATGAGGCAGGAATATGGGTAGAAAAAAATGGGGGGTAACCCCTAAATGGTGAATTTATATGAATACAGAAAAGAAAAGAAAAAACTATCATAAACTGTCTCAACATTTTGGTAAATATAGTCACAATGAAATGAGCATAAAAAATAACTTTTAATGGATATATTAAAATGTAAAATGGAAAAGAGAGAAGCAAAACAAAAAGCACAAGGCTACAAAATAATATGTCCTATAAACTAGTTGGGGTATTAAACCTCCAATAGAACCAATAGCAAGAGAAGTGTTGCTTCAAAAAAATACTCATTGGTGTAAAGTAAAACCACTTGCTATGAACAATGTGACTGAATTCTAAATAGGAAAATGGGATACTAGTATCTTCTAAACTCCTCCTGCAGAACAGGGTCGGTTGAATATAGATGAAAAGCCTCTAGTGCACAAGGGGTTAAACAGCACAACAGTTGGTTGCAATGGTTAAAAAAAAAGAGGCAGGGAATACCTGTAAAATAAAGAGGTATAGGAGACAGTTGCAAGCTAGGTTAGATATAATGGTCAGTAGAAATATAGAGACTATAGGTAATCCTGACACTTGCTAGCAAGAGAGGTGTAAATACAAAGAGATACTTTAATAGTAAAAAGTTAAGCCACTTTGTATAAACAATGTCACTGAATTTAAGATAGGAGGGTGGGGTATTAGTATCCTCTGAACTCCTCCTGCAAAACAGGGTCTGTTGTATATAGATAAAGTACCTTTAATGCACAAGTGGTTAAACAGTACACCAATATGGTTGCAATAGTTAATAAAAAAGAGGCAGAAAATACCTATAAATAGGGAGGTATAGGAGGCAGTAGCAAGCTAGGATTAGATGCAATGATAAATAGAGATGTAGAAAATATAGGTAATCCTGATGCTTGTAAGATAGAAAATCTAAGTGTCTTCGAGGGCACCCCTTAATAAATGCCTATACTATATAGCACAACCCCCCAAAAAGGTGTAAATACAGAGAGATACTTAAATAGTAAAAAGTGAAGCCACTTGCTATAAACAATGTTCAAGATAGGAGGGTGGAGTATTAGTATCCTCTGAACTCCTCCTGCAGGACAGGGTCTGCTGTATATAGATGAAGTATCTCTAATACACAATAGGTTAAACAGCACACCAATGTGGTTGCAATAGTTAAAGGACCACTCTAGGCACCCAGACCACTTCAGCTTAATAAAGTGGTCTGGGTGCCAGGTCCAGCTAGGATTAACCCATTCTTTTATAAACAAAGCAGTTTCAGAGAAACTGCTATGTTTATGAATGGGTTAAGCCTTCCCCCAAAGCCTCTAGCAGCTGTCTCATTGACAGCTGCTAGAGGCGCTTGCATGCTTCTCACTGTGATTTTTACAGTGAGAGCATGTCAGCGTCCATAGGAAAGCATTCTGAATGCTTTCCTATGTGACCGGCTGAATGCGCGCGCAGCTCTTGCCGCGCGTGTGCATTCAGGCGACGGGGAGGAACAGAGGAGGATCAGAGGAGGAGAGCTCCCCGTCCAGCACTGGAAAAAGGTAAGTTTTACCCCTTTCCCCCTTCCAGAGTATGAGTATGTTTTCCTGGCACTATAGTGGTCCTTTAATAGAGAAGATGCAGAGAATACCTGTAAATAGGGAGGTATAGGAGGCAATAGCAAGCTAGGATTAGATGCAATGATAAATAGAGATGTAGAAAATATAGGTAATCCTGACGCTTGTAAGATAGAAAATCTAAGTGCCTTCGAGGGCACCCCTTAATAAATGTCTATACTATATAACTAGCGATCTTGCTTTTACAACTAGGCATCCTTTTTTCTTGTCCTATCCTTTGTCTTTTTATTCCTTTTTGGGGGGGTTGAGTTATATAGTATAGGCATTTATTAAGGGGTGCCCTCGAAGGCACTTAGTTTTTCTATCTTACAAGCATCAGGATTACCTATATTTTCTACATCTCTATTTATCATTGCATCTAATCCTAGCTTGTTACTGCCTCCTATACCTCCCTATTTACAGGTATTCTCTGCCTCTTTTTTATTAACTATTGCAACCATATTGGTGTACTGTTTAACCTCTTGTGCATTAAAGGTACTTTATCTATATACAACAGAACCTGTTTTGCAGGATGAGTTCAGAGGATACTAATACCCCACCTTCCTATCTTGAATTCAGTGACATTGTTTATAGAAAGTGGCTTAACTTTTTACTATTAAAGTATCTCTTTGTATTTACACCTCTCTTGCTAGCAAGCGTCAGGATTACCTATAGTCTCTATATTTCTACTGACCATTATTAGTGATGTCCCGAACGGTTCGCTGCAGATGGCGAACATAAATATAAACTTTGACCCTGTACCTCACAGTCAGCAGACACATTCCAGCCAATCAGCAACAGACCCTCCCTCCCAGACCCTCCCACCTCCTGGACAGCTCACTAAGAATGCAGCTTCACAATGAATGTAAAATGGATGCTGTCCAGGAGGTGGGAGGGTCTGGGAGGGAGGGTCTGCTGCTGATTGGCTGGAATGTGTCTGCTGACTGTGAGGTACAGGGTCAAAGTTTATGTTTATGTTCACCATCCGTGGCGAACCGTTCGGGACATCACTAACCATTATATCTAACCTAGTTTGCAACTGTCTCCTATACCTCTTTATTTTACAGGTATTCCCTGCCTCTTTTCTATTAACCATTGCAACCAACTGTTGTGCTGTTTAACCCCTTGTGCACTAGAGGCATTTCATCTATATTCAACCGACCCTGTTCTGCAGAAGGAGTTTAGAAGATACTAGTATCCACTTTCCTATACAGAATTCAGTTTCATTGTTCATAGCAAGTAGTTTTACCTTACACCAATGAGTATTTTTTTGAAGCAACACTTCTCTTGCTATTGGTTCTATTGGAGGTTTAATACCCTAACTAGTTTATAGGACATATTATTTTGTAGCCTTGTGCTTTTTGTTTTGCTTCTATCATTTCTATTTTACATTTTAATATATCCATTAAAAGTAATTTTTTATGGTAATTTCATTGTGACTATATTTACCAAAATGTTGAGACACTTTATGGTAGTTTTTTTCTTTTCTTTTCTGTATTCATATAAATACGCCTTAGTTATATTTGACATTAGATGTGATTGTTTGCCATCTTGTGATTTAAAGGCAAGGGTGAATGTGGTTTGCTTTTTTTTGTTTGAGAGCATGGGCCAATAGTCAACCATTCTTACCTCCTTGGTTATAGAATAGACTCTAAGTATTTAGTAGTTTCGCCTGTCTGAAGACCCATGAGTGTCCTGAGTTCCGCTCTTTTGTCCTTTAACTGTTTGAATGTGGGTAAGGCGGATTCTAATTTGTGCCTATCTTTGAAGGCCCTTACCTATGACAATAATTGTATAAGCCTCGCCTCTCTTTTCTGTTTGTGTACTGAAGATATCTTAATGATAGTTCCTCTGATAGTACATTTATGTGCTTCCCAAATTGTAGTGTGGGGTGATTCTGGGTATGTGGTCTGAGTGAAATATTGCATTATAGCATCTTAAAGTTGAGCAACGTTCCCTGGGTCATTTAGTAGGATATCTTTTAGCTTCCACTGGATACTTCAGGAAGGAAGGGAGGGAATATCAACAGCAAGAGACAGGGGCAGATGATCCGACCAAGTTATGGAACCGTATTTACAAGTTTTGATCAGATGTAGAAAGCGGTGCGGGAGGAAAAACATATCTATTCTCGTGTAGGACTCTGATGCATAAGAGTAAAAGGAGTAGTCTTTGACAGTAGAATGGAGGGTACGCCATCCATCGTATAATTGAGCTTCATCTTGTAATGTTCACATTTGTCTATGAGTGGATGCCAGGTAAGTTGGTGTATTGGAGGAGGTGTCGAGGTTGCTATCTAGGGTGGTATTAAAATCTCCACCTAGGATAAGTATGCCTTCAGCAAAGTGATCCAGTTTGCGGAGGATTTTACGGTATGTATAACACTGCTTCCTATTGGGGAGATAGATATTAGCGAATGTCACCATGGTGTTACCAATAAGACCACGTACAAAAAGAAACCTGCCATTGTCATCAGACATGTACCTTGTAGGTGAAAGGGAGGTTTACCCCAAAGAGAATAGCTACTCCTTGTGATTTGGAAGCATGATAATTACTGAAATATCCTACGGGGTACCATTTGTTTTTAAGGGTTGGAGCTGAGTCTATACTAAAGTGCATTTCCTGAATGAACACGACATCCACTCTCATACCATGAAAATCTACCAGGGCCAAATGTCTTTTTTCTGGGGTGTTCATACCTCTCTCATTAAGCGATATGATTTGCATGGTAGCCATGGGAAACTGGGGTAGTATGTGTGTATGTTCCATACAGGACAGCTGAGGACGTTCAAGGACAAGTAAACATATACTTTGTTATCAGGACAAACGTAATAATGCAAACTATTAACAAGCAGAAAAATAAATTCAGTAAGCATGTTTAAACATGTAGGTATGAATTTGTACGTGTTTGATATAAAACGCTGCTGTCAATCCCTGAGATTAACCAGAGTCTACAGGGAATTTTATCTAATGAAGACTGACACTGCTAGAAAGGGTTTGATGAATTTGTGGTTCAGCGTGTGTGTATGCGGCTGTCAAGAGGATAGCTGTGTCAGGTTGTGAGAGGTTAGGGTGCGGGTTGGATGTGTGATTGTGTATGTGTTGGATCTGTGGCTGGGTTGTATAAGATGGCATTAACCCAGGCTGGCAGACAACAAATGCAAAGTGAGTTTACATGTTGAGGTGAGGCTAGAGTGTATTGAATGGTCTAAGGAATGCTCCGGTGCAGTCCGCTCCACCCAAATGGACCAGCGTATCAGTTTGTTGAGAGATGTTAACCCAGAATTGTTTTATCCTTTTTTTGTTTTGTTTACACATGCCCAAAATAAGATACTGCATTCCATATACATTGACCATATCATGTAGTGTAGTCAGCTTCAAGCCCAAGTCTCTGGTATGCGTTTGTGGGTACACCGAAGGGTACAACCATGAAGGCATCAAGGGTTGCTTCTACCTTAATGGAGTAGGGCCAGAGGATGAGTGGTTATAGGTGGACCGCTCTGTCCCACGTGTGTCTTGGAAGGGGGATTTCTATAGAGCTTACATCTGGAGAGGGTAAGGAGTGTGGGAAAAAATAAAAGTGGGGATGAGAAGGGGTTTCCAAGTCTGGGGTACATTTAAGGGAACATTATATTGTGTCGTACAACCTTTGGCAATAACACATATATATATATATATATATATATATATATACGACCTGTTTCTGGTGTTGGTGCATGGTGCCATAGCGAGTATTAGGCTTTTCCTTATAGGGAGTGATAGTCCAATGGTTATGATACACAAATGTCCCAAAGACACGTCAGGGATCTGGCTCAGTCTATGTCAGACAACAAAAGGGTATATACATTACTGTGAGTGTTGCAGCTGCCTGGAGACATTCCATTTTGAGTGATGTGCAGAGTTGTCTTTGTTGTGAGGGTCACGTGGTCCTCATTGATGGGGTCAAAGGGATTTGAATTCCGGATGATGGAAATACCAAAGGTTAAGTCACAGACTGCATTAGGAGTATGGAATTTTAACATAGGTCACTTAGGGAGTGCCTGGGTTTGATCTGTGTGGTCCCTGTTCAGTTCTCCGTTCCTTAGATGGGGTTTGGCATTTCTGGTGCTGAGTGAGTTGCAGCGGTGGAGCAGACATTTGTGGTGCATACCAATTGAGAACTGGAATGTCAGGCAGATCACGCATCTGTAGGAACTGTGGGACATCTAGGTGCGAGGAAATAAATGTACCACTATTATGCGTGAAAGGGAAACCCCATCTGTACCTGAGGTTTCTGTTCTACATGTGGTCTGCGATGGGCTCTCCGGGCTTGCAAAGTGAGCCAGGACAGATCCGGGTATATCTGAAGTGGGTTACTGTGGAATAGTAGTGGTGGAGTTGTGGATCTCAGCGCTCTTATTATAGCATCTTTCATCAAGTAATAATGCAGGTGGCATATCACATCCCGCGGGTTGCTTGGTGAGGCATTACTGGGCCACAGGGATCTGTGTGCCCTGTTTATGAATACAGGGGATTCAGCCATTTTACTCAGTATAAGGTTGAATAATTTGGCTAGGATAATTTGCAAGTCTTCCTCTTGATTTTCTGATAGGCCTCGGATCCTCAAATTGTTTCAGCACCTGCGGTTATCAATATTATCTAATGAGCATTGTATGGAGGCTATATACGTGGACTGCAGGCCGAGGTTGGAGGTGAGTTGCTGGATCTGTGTATGGCGGAGATCTTTGTCGTCCTCCAAGTCATGTACCCTATGGCCTACCTGATGGATGTCAGTTCCTAGGCTGTCCAGCTTGATTGGAAAGAGGATTCATGTTTTCCCAGCATCTTGACCAGGTGCATTGTGATGGTAGGTTTCCAAGCATTTCTTTAATGTCGGGATCTGTAGAGAAAGCAGAGCCTTATGACGGAGCTGGAGAAGTCTGACATTTGGTCAGTGGGATCTCTGAAATATTTAGTTGAGATTTACCCAAAGGCGTCTACCCCATTGTACTGTGGGAGCCTTGGGCTTTCTTGGAGTTCCCCATGTTTAATTTTCACCTCAGATTGTGTGGATTGTCTGCTCGGCCTGTTTAGAGCTATTTTAGAAAACGTCCATCCAGCTCGACGGTTAGCCACGCCCCATAAGTACATTTTTGTGCCATTTTGTTTATCAATTTCTTTGGACAAATAAATTCAGATGAACAACATTTATTGGCTATGCACAAGTCTAATGAGTATACATTTTAGACCACAAGTACAAAAGTAAAAATATATGAAATCAGCTTGATGCCTTTTCATTGCTCAGTGACATTAAGTATTTGTTATGTTTAGGGATGCAGATTCTCAAAATATCATAAGAATATAAATATTGATAGGTAGACATAATGACATACAGTAAATATCCCGTCTAAAACCAAGTATCTAAATTTCAAAGGGAATTGCACCCTGTCATTAACCTTTGTTATTATTCAGGTCTGAGTTTGTTACTGGGTTATTGAAGTCCTATTTTAAGTCAAATAACATATATAAAATATTACTTATTTTAACTATGTTTCAGTTTCTTGTTATTTTAAGGTTATTATTTTGTATTACAAGAAGAAACCATCTGCTGGTTTTTGTTGTGTATGTAATGGGCTGTTTGTGCTTTTTTTGTAAATGCCAGAGTGCTTTTTTAACAGAAACCATGACCATTCCAAATGTTTCTAACAAAATAAACCACTCTCATGAGAAATCACATGGAAGAAGTAAAAAGGAGCTTCAGCAACAATGTCAAATGTAATACATTTTACAAAGTAATGTTACAAAGTAATAATATTAACACACTGGTCAACAGTGGTAGGAATTTTTTATATAGAATTTTAGTTAAAGCAATACTCAATGAATGCAACTACTTATTTGAATGCATTAAATAAATTAAGCACTATAAAGATATGCATTTAAAATAGAATAACCATTTCTTCTTCT